TCCAGTTTCTTTCATTAGTCCATTATATATATATATATATATATATATATATATATATGAAGAGAGAGAGAGAAAGGGAGGAGTGATTCGTTTATTGATTAGTTTAATGATTCTAAGTAAGAATCAATATGTTATCCATCATAGTGACAATATATTTCTTTTGAGTAAATTAAAACACTACTTCTCTCTAACAAACCAGAAAATATGAAATCATATTTAGTCTTTTTTCCTTTTGTTGTTTTAGTTTCATGTTGATTTCGTCATCGGGAGTTTAAATTCTTTTTTGTTTTGGAAACAATTTCAAAGTAATTAAAATAAATGATGCACTTTTCTCTGGATGTGATCAGAGATTTATAGTAATTTTAATATGAAAAAATATGTTAAAAAATGCACAAAACTCTCCACATCCGTCAAAGTTTGGAAAGTGATCTCTCAGAATTCGAGGACTGAAAGTCTGTACTGTACACTTACATTACACGCGAACGCACACATACACACATACGCGCACTATTTCACAAGCGTCTCTTTGCGCATGCGTATATCTTTCATACAGGATATTTATTAACGTCACCACACACAAATGGCCAAATACTTATTTAATTGTTCCTGAATCTCCAACACGAAAAATATTCTCTTGACGGATTTCCTTGCGTAATTTTTAACATTTCGTGAATATCCAATGGAAATTTTAACGAAGAGTCCGTGGGTCTGTCTCTTGGATATCACAAGAAGAGTCAAGACCTTCTTCTATGTAAGAGTGGGGAGGAGGCTGAATGTTCTTTGCCCAATCAAAAGGCGATTATAAATAAAATTCTCATATTTGGACATTTGATCAGATTTGGTAAAGTGGGTGGAGCCGATAACTTTTCAATATTTCGTGAATGGCTTCAGCGAAAGGAACAGGTATTTTTCAAAGCTCGACGATGATAAATGTTTTTTCTTTGCCAATTTAACATCAAATTCTCATTATTATTATTAATATTACTATTATTATTATTATTATTATTATTATTATTATTGCTATCCTCTATGACTCTTAGATGAGGAGCTCATATTTCAGCTTGTCCCCGCAGCTTAGAGACACAAATTTTTCTTTGCACATGAACTTTAACAAGCATGGCTGTCATTTGCGCACTCCCACTGATGTGCCAAGTATCCCTAAAGCGTCTTGCCATCACTAATACTACTACTACTACTACTACTTATTGTTATTATTATTATTATTATTCTCCTTTAGTTTTCTTATAAATCAATCGATTAGCAGAAAGACGGGGATGTCATTGTACAAAGAGCAGCGGTAAAATTTCCTACTAAAACTAACCAATGACAGTTGTAAAGCAAACTATTATAAACAAAATATTATGCTTCAATCTCTTCTCGTTATATAGAATGATATCACATTTTTCATTTTTATAGAATGATAACACATTTTTCATATGCATCTTCAACTTGCCATTCAGGGAAAGCTAAAACGAAAATCTGGTATGTCCAATGACCTGTGAGTCAATTGTGGTTACATAGATTTTAGTTATCGACATTACAAAATCCTAGCTTTATTTTCAAATTTTAGTCCCGGGATGCAATAAAAGGTTACTAAATGAAGTACGCTTTCTTTTTATACTCGAAAATTGGCCTCCGAGAAGCTTGTTAGCAAACGCTACGAAAAGCTCTCAAGTGGTTTCAATTTTACCGAAAATTATCAGCTTCAAAATCTTAATCGTGAAATTCTCGACCCAATATTATACATACGGCGTTACCAATGTAAGATAAATCTAGTAAAAAAAAAAAAAAAGTAAGAAACATTACAGGAAAAAAAAACAACTTGCGAACACAATCGGCGTATTATATACAGAAGGAGATAAAATATGTATATAAAGTTTACCAAATTATATCATAAAAATTATACTTTTTCCTTGTCTATATAATATACCAAATATATTTGTAAGTTTTTGATTCTAACTTTGAAATTTGTTATGTTTTTATTTTTATTATTAGTTTTTCATACGTGGATCTTTAAATACAGTTTCGAAATAACAGTTTACACTTTTTACCACTTTTTTTTTTTTTTTTTGCTTTAGTCCTTTTCTAAATATCTCAGGTGTAACCCTTAAATTGTATTCGTTATTGGGATTATCCGGACGCATACAGTATATGCTTGCAACAAATAATCTTTTTTTAATAAACTGTTTTATTTTCTTCAGATATACTTATGCACTCACAAACACAATCACATAAAATGCATATATACGTTAATCACATAAAATGCATATATACGTTAATGAACGAACTAGTATTAGTCAGAAGTAAATATAAACTATCCTTCGTATTATTGCAAAGTTTTCACATGCGAGATTTTAAATTTATTTTTCTAATTATCATAATTGTTATTTGCTTTTTCACGAAGTCAGTTTTTGCATCTTGTAAACATCCAGGAACTGTCTATCATTGTCATGAGAAATACACTTATAGTTAGCGTCGTTAGTGTAATGGGGAAAACTCCAGAATGTCATAATTTGTAAACACAGCAGAAGGACATAGATAAAATCAAAGATAAAAGCCACCTTTACTTGCCAGTAATTATAGCAACCAAATCATGATGAATAAGCCATCAAAATTTAATTAACAAGTTCACAAAATTTAATTTTCAATTTCACAAAATTTAATTATCAAGGCAACAAAATCAAGTCACCAAAACTTAATGAACAATGTATTAAAGTTTAATTATCAAGGTAACAAAATGAAGACATAATATTTTGAAATTTTTATTCCAACGTCAACGATTAAATAATAAAAAAAAACTCCGGAGAATTTTTAAAATTATATCGCAGCACATGGCAGAACATGAAGAAAATGGGGACTTAAAGAATCAAAACTTGCTTTGCACAACAAAAGACAAGAAAGTGTGAAGTGCCATGAACGCGCCTATCCTGAAAGAATACGGCCCATAAAAGAATCGTTATAAATCTCTTCAAGAGTCACATTTCCCATATGTCTATTTACTCAACGGTTGTGGCCAGTTGAAAATATGCTACGATTACATATATAGGTTAAATAGGCCTGAGAAAGAGTTCGAATTCCAAGTGAGTTCATTGCGTTCATTTTTTTAGGGAAATCCTGTTGGGAAATGTATGAATCCATTTCCACCTACTAGTAACGGGTCAAGGAACAGGGCAGACAGAGCTATCTTACCTTGAGCTGGCAACCAATCGAGGAGAAGGAAAACTCTGAATTCAAAACTCAACGTTAAGAGGGATGGGTTCTATCAGGCTATTTTACTAAAAGTAGTAGAACTCTAATGGGTTACAGAATTCATGATGTGACCTAACGCGATATAGCCAAGAAGACCTACCTGGCGGCTGAAGTTATTCCTTATTTCCCATAAGCATCTACTATCAATATTTAAGACCATGTTTTCAAATGCCTATAGGCCGGTCTTCCCTTGAAGCAGCACACTCTTATTCTTTACAACTGACCTATTGCTAAAATGTATACATGGTGAAATCGAATAGGGAACCATTTATTTTTTCACATAGATACTTTCAGGAAATACTTGCAGCAATTCGATTTAATTGTAGGCATCAGGCAATATTCTAAGACTATTTATGAAGATGTGTTATTCAATGGTCGGTGTGCAGTGCTAAGGTAAATGCAATTCATGAATCGTAATTTGGATAAGTTTCAAGTTATATTATTATTTCAGTAGACAGAGAATTCTTCTATGTGACGTGTCCCTTCAGAAAGTTGTTGATCATGGCTCTCCCCAAATTCCTGTTTTTTGTAGCTCTTAGGAAATTTTGTCTTTTTGTTCTCTCTCCTAAACACTGATCTACCATCCATTTATTCAATCTTCAATCTGTTCTGTGAGGGTCAAATTTTCAAAGTCCTCTAGAAATTTCAGCTGAATTTTTCTGATATTAAGTATAAGTGACTTTTTTTGTTTCCATGATTTAAATTTATAATGGGTTAGCAAATTCAAATTCTCCTAAAAGAAGAAAAACTGATTACAGAACAAATGATATTTTAAAATTGAAGATCTATACGCTTTATAGGGTGTGTATCTAAATTCGATCCTCGTAGTCTGTGTGTTTTGCTTTTTGACATTCACTGTAGTCGTAACAGTGAATCATGTCATATTTACAAATGATACAATATTAGTAAAATAGAAATATCTGTGAAAATTTTACGGTTTTCCTATTTGAATTTTCTAATGAATCTTAATTCTTCAACTCATGATTGAATACGCTCATGGCGAATTCTACGACAATAAAATATCTGTAGGAATTCTCATGTCGCATCGTTAAATATTTGAGCTTAACAACTTTAACAAAATATTTGAGCTTAACAACTTTAACAAAATATTTGAGCTTAACAACTTTAACAAAATATTGCAACAGCAATGATAAATATGATGAATGTTGTCGTCATTTTAAGAAGTAAGGGGGTACAAATAAAAAGATGTGAAACTGACAACTTTTTACATTACACTGAAACTGACGTTAAACGCTTCTATCTTCCTTTCTTTCATTTTTTTCACCGAAAGCAAATAACGCCTCTGATATGGCTTTTCCGTCTTTCCATACGATCAAAACGGAATAGTTCAGTATTCATGAGGTATTGACAGGACGTAACGGCCGTGCTAAATAAAGGTGGGACAAACAGAATTATAATAAAATAGTTGCAGTTGTATTTTAAGAACCAAGAATGTTACTCGATTGTAATATATGGTAAGGCTTATAAGATCCTCATAGAAAAACACTTCTCCTAAAATGTGAATGTAGATGTTCTATTGTTTCGAGTCTATGTTTCCAACAATAACAATACTTTGTTGCGTATGACATCATTGCTGACCTCAGAGCGATAAACGGGGGAACAGATCGGCTTCTGGAAGGCGGAGAGGGACGGGTAAACATAAACGTGGAGTGGTTGACGTAGGTGAAGGAAATTTTTAACTACTTACCTCCTTCCTATCAAAGACAGGGTATCAACAATTTTCTCGACAGTCTTTCTTATTGCGTCCGACCACATTACAACTACCCTGTTACCACCCGTTTAGTATGGGGAAAGGGAAGAGGCAAAGAAGATTTTTTGCCTGTCCATTCATATTACACACCTTCTTATTTCCTTCCCCTTTCACCCTTCTCACTATTTTCAGTTATTTCTATTTGTTTCTCTCTCTTTCTCGGTAAGTCTGTCTATCTGATTCTCATACTCTCTCTCTCTTTCTCAATCAGTCTTTGCACCTTCCTCTCTCTCTCTCTCTCTCTCTCTCTCTTTCTCGGTCAGTCTCTCTAGTTGCCTCTCTTTCTGTCTCTTTTTCTCTCTCTTTCGGTTAGCCGATCTACAGCCGCTCTCTCTCTCTCTCTCTCTCTCTCTCTCTCGCTCTCTTTTTTTCAATCAGTCTGTCTATCTCCGTCGCTCTTTCTCGGTTAGTCTATCTGCCTCTCTTTCTCGATCAATCGCTATTTTCATCTCTTTCTCGGTCAGTCTGCCTATCTGCCTCTCCCTCTTTTTCTCGGCCAGTCTCTCTCTCTCTCTCTCTTTCTCGGTCAGTCTGTCTATCTGCCTCTCCCCCTCTCCTTCTTAAAAACTGACATTTTTATTGACTTTTTTCTTCTTGTTGTTGTCCTTCTCAAAGTTGGAAAAACTTGCAAAACCAACCATACACAGCAGGGCGGTGATGATGATTACAATCAAAAAAGGGGGAAAAATTTCACCCCCTTGACACCCTACACCCAGCCAATCCCCAGCGTCACCAAACGAACGGTATAGTGTCACAAGTCTTTTCTTTTCGAACCCCAATTAACATTTTGTCTTTCATTTTTTTAAAATCTTCTTTGGGAGGGTGGAGGTTTTTTTTCTTTTTTCAATATCTATTTGCCCAGTCTTCTTTTTTTCTTCTTCTTCCTCCACCTCATATATATATATATATATATATATATATATATATATATATATATATATATATATATATATATATATATATATATATATATATAATATGTGTGTGTGTGTGTATCCCTACTCAATTTTTGTATGACATTTCATCCATCTCATCCTTTCAACTCCCTCTCTTTCCTTCACTCTCTTTCCTTCACTCTCTTTCTTTCACTGTGTGTCTGTGTGTGTCTTTCATTTCCTTCTGAACGTTTTCCGTGTTGTTTTCTTCAAATTTCTCCACACACCCCGTCCGCCGCCATCGCACTTTCGGGTTCTTTCTTTTCCTCCCTGTCTTGATAGTTTTATGGCTGTGATGCACTTAGTTATTCACAGAACCTCAATTTTACCTTAGAAAAACACAGACTCGAGTAGAAAACACCGCTTCGTCGAGGCGGTGGGGGCAGGAAAGCCTCAGACTCTCACGTTAGACAAGACAGTGGAACGAAAGCATGGCGACACAAACATTTTTCTCTTTTTTTTTTAATGGATTTTTTTTCTTTCACTTTTCTTCTGGTGGGGAACACCAGAAGACTTTTTTTTTCTTTTTTCATTATTTCGTTCTTTTCTTATGTTTTTGGTCACTATTTCTTACATTATTCTCTTTTTGCTTCTTCTTCTTCTTCTTCTTCTTCTTCTTCTGACTCTCATTCTTCTTCTTACTCTTCTTCTTCTAATTCTTTTTCTACTCCTCCTTCTTCTTTTTCTTCTTCTGACTGTTCTGACTCTCCTTCTTCTTGTTTCATTTGCTTCTGACTTTCCGCTTCTTTTTCTTCTTCTTTTTCTTCTCCCTTTTCTGACTCTCCTTCTTCTTATTCTTCTTCTAATTCTTTTTCTACTCCTTCTTCTTCTTTTCCCGACTCTTAATTTTCTGACCCTTTTATTTCTATCTTTCTCACCTCTCTTTTGCCTATCTTTCTAGCACTATCAAAATTCTATCCCTACATTTATTTCCTACGTCTTGTCACTCTCGTCTCTCTTTCCTTGCATATATTTTATTTCCCATCCTCTCTCTTTTCCATGATTTCATCTTTTCCTCCTCTTCTTTTCCATTGCCTTACAATTCTCTTCTCCGTCTTCAGTCATTCCTATCTTTCTTCGTCACCCCTAGCGGTAGACGTCTTTCCCCGAACCTCTCTCTTCCTCCAGCTCTTACCCTAAACCCATCTTATCCACATCCCGACCGCTCCCCATTCATCCCAGGGCCCCCAGACATTCGAGTGTTGTTCTCCACCATCAGTCGTGTACGGGACACGCGGGCCCGGGCAAAACGACGCCATTATGTCCGCCGACGCCGCCAACCAGGAACCCCACCCCATCGACTCAACCACCGACCCACCACCAAAAAACACAGCCGGAGACCCCTACGCGCCGCCGCATACCATCACTACTGCCGCCATCAGCACCCCCAACAGCAGCTTAAGAGACAAGTCTCGGGTCTTGTTTAACTTGCCACCACCAACACAACTTGACTATCCATTCGGGCCCACACAATTTCTCTGATCCCTCAATGCACGGGAAAAACCTTTTACGAGAGACGCGTGCAAAGGAAAACTTGCCTGACTCTCACACGCACAGGCTTGCATCTTGCCTTACCTGAACCCTGAGACACACACGGTCAGAGATTACACATTGGGACACACGTGCAGGGTTTAGCATTTTGCCTTACTTAAACTCAAAGACGCACTCGCTATAGATTCATAAAGAGCCACGCCATTTCTTTAACTAAATTCAAACACGTCAATCGTAGAGTTCGCGTGGATACCTGCTGAAATAAATATATTATTTTTATATATGAAATTCATAAGTTGTGGACCCTATGGAAACAAAATTTGATTTCAGTAAATAGAGTTTATTAAATAAAAAAAATCCGACATTTCGTAAACGATCAATCCAGCATATTTTTTCTATATTTTATATTTCGAATTGTAATTGACACTATCCCCCACCGCAAAAAAAAAACAAAAAAAAAAAAAAAAACGTTTTGTCCCCTTAGATACGTGTATCCGCAAAAATAACGTTTAGTATAATAACATATATATATATATATATATATATATATATATATATATATATATATATATATATATATGTATGTATGTATGTATGTATGTATGTATGTATAATAAAAGAACAAATAGGAAACTTATATCAAATTAAGATGTTTTCACTTTTATTAAAACTTCGTCAGAGATTGAAAGAAAACAGCTTTTTTTTCTCAATGCTTGACAAGGATGTATGTAAATATATAAAAATGGACATTGAGGTGAAGACTAAGTGGCAACATATCTGTTCCAGGCTTGGATCAAAAGCCTAAAGAGTGCATTCAAGTATGATACAGACTGTCGCCACTCGGCGTCTCCATTAATACATATTCCCCAAACCGAATAAAATCAGTTTCATCGTCAAAATGTTTGTGTTATTATTAAAAGGAAAGCGTAAATTATTTTTCGATCTTAAAATTATTTTTAAAATCTCTTCAAAATTTGGGTTAAAATTTTGTTTTTCTCGCATCAACGTCGGACAATGAATTTGTGTTGGAAATTTGAGTGTCTGTTTGCGTTAATAAACATATCAATTTGGAAATTCTTGCAGAAATCAGATAATTGTCAAATTTAATGAAACTTTCAGAACTTATGCACAAATGAACAAAAAAATTTTCTGAAACGTTTCTTGTTTATCATTCAGATAAGTTCTATGAGAAATTAATTAAGAAAAAAAGAATAAAACTAAGACATTATTTAATTAGAAAATCATGTAATTGCTTTTATAAATAAATTATATTATGGACACTATTGTCTTACGAAAAAAAATTGTATAATGAGTAATTAATTTTTCCAAGAATTCGTTTTATTTTTTAAAGTATTTAATTAGAATAATCTATAGAATTTGAAATCTTTTAAAATTATGTAAAAATTTGTAGCGGTCACGTTACGTTGTTATTAAATAAAATCGGTATTTACTAATGATGAATGGAAAAGTTTACTACAATACAGCGACTCCTAATATTTTAAAAAGAATTTTGAATTTTGTTTTACGTGTGTATAAACGTGCCGATTTTTGTAAATACGGACGTTCATAGATGACATTATCATAAAATCAAAAGCGTAAAAATGGAAAATTTTAAATTTATTGACAACTTTCTAAAATTTTCTTAACTATCTGATTCGTAACTAATACTATAAAGCCAAAATACATAAAATTCAATAAAATATTAGAATGCTTAAAATGTTTTCAATTTTTAAGATCACTGAGTACTATAAAAATAGGCGTTTATGTCGTATTCGTCACGTAATTCTATTACAATAATCTCCTCTTTACTTACATTGCCAAAACAATAGGGTGTCAATAGATTTGTCAGCACATCGAAAAATCACCCCACTCCATGTTAAAAAAAACCCTGCCTGCTATAGACATAAGTAACATCAATTTCAGTTCAGAATAATTAATTTTTACATCAGCTAATTAAAATAGCTTGCATTTTTTAAAGATTTTTAATAAAAGGAATTATGTTGCGTTGACAGATTTGTGTGCATGGACGATTTTGAAGATTTTACTCATAATCAGAAAAAATAATTCCAATCGATTTAAATTCGGTTTGAAATACAGTTAAAATTTTAGTTATTGTAAATATTGAACTTAATCTATTACCTTGAAATTAAAACAAATGTAAGATTAAATTTTTAAATTTTTTAAAATGCATTTCCTTTGGAGGTACCTATACACATACGCACGCACACAAACACTTACGCACATACAAACACACACACACACACACATTTATATATATATATATATATATATATATATATATATATATATATATGTGTGTGTGTGTGTGTGTGTGTGTTTAATTTCATCCAATCCCCACCCACTATAAATCATCCCAGAATCTTAAAAACTGATGGTCGTGCAAGGACTAAAAGCTAAACAGTCTCACTTACTTCACAGGTTCATCTAGGGAATCCCTAATAAAATATGATTATGAATGAATATTACATTCTGAAAAAAAAATGATACAAAAATAAATAAAAGACATCTGATGTATAAGAATGAATGAAATATAACTTTATATTTATTTTCTTAATTTTTTTCTTGATAAATTATAGGTGCATCTTACCTGAAAGATAGCGTTTATATATATATATATATATATATATATATATATATATATATATATATATATATATATAAAATATCTCCTGCTTTCTTTATCTCTGTATTTATCTCTTTCTTTTTCTCTCTTTCTAACCTGAAGATGCCGAAAGCAGCAATTGTTCTCGGCATAACGCGTCGTTTATAGCATTACCACTTTATCTCATTATCTTCAGATATATGCACATACACACACACACACACACACACATATATATATATATATATATATATATATATATATATATATATATATATATATATATATATAGTTGGATTGATATGTGTTTGTGACACTGTGTTTCACGCTTTTGCGATCGTGAGACAAATTTGTGAAACCCTGGGTCAAAAATTCACATCAGTCCAACTAAATATGTTAGCTCTATCACTTATATTGAGTGCTTACGCGCACATATAATAAATTGCATATATATATATATATATATATATATATATATATATATATATATATATATATATATATATATGTTTATATTTCTACGTATATACATTTCATAAATATATATAAATATATATTTAATATATATATTTATATAAATACACATTTTACATATACATATTAAATATATATATCTATATATGCACGTTTATGTACATATATATATATATATGTGATAATCAGCATGCAATGTTGATTTCTATCTTTTGTCTATCCCTATCTCTCTTTTTCTCTCTCTCCTTGTATATATATATATATATATATATATGAAAAAAAATTATCTTTGAATATTCTTTTATTTTTAGTTAGTTGTCATGTAGGCACACAATATTCGTGAAAAATCTTTGCTCACGTAGATAATTAATATTAGTTTCAATATTTATCTATTTACCCATATATATGCATATATACAGGATTAATACAGTTAAAATTTGTCACTTAGCTGATTAACGTTATATTCAGCGCCTTGACTCTGGAGTTTCGTAGACGCATCATTTTGTAATCATTCTGTTTATTCGTCAGGATTTTTCTGATCCACGTCAATATCTTTATATTATAAAATATAATTTTAAGATATACTATATTTAGGGGAACAAGTGCGCAATATCTGCGATTGAGTGTGAATATAATTAGACATTGTGGTCAACATTGAGTGGCAACGGTCTGCTTTAAGCCCTTTGTGTGCCGTAGTAGCTCAGCTATTTATATATGTGAGTCATATCGCCTTATGGATAGTAAAATATATTATTTCCGTTTTATTGTGTTATTCTGATGCCTATTGGTGGGAAAGGTTATATTTTAAATTATTTTAATGGCTATTCAGTAGAAATCCATATTTTATTCCATTGGGTTATTTTGTTAAACATTTTAACTTATTATTCATGTATTACTGATTAATTTAGTGCATTTTTATTTATTTATTCATTATTCACTATTACTTATTATTATTATTATTATTATTAAAGTTACTTAGTTGTGGTTCTGCATTCAGTTCCTTCATTTGCGTTGTTGATTATTTAACTTATTTACTTATGTTATTTTTATTTTGATGTTTTTATATTTCCAGAATTTACTTGTTTGCTTAGTTTAAAGGATGAGCTTTAAAATTTATTTCACAATCTGAATTCTATATAATGCGGATAAATACATTTTTCTTAATGCATTACAATTAACAATAATATAATATATAATATAATGCGGATAAATATATTTTTCTTAATGCATTACAATTAACAATAATATAATATATAATATAATGCGGATAAATACATTTTTCTTAATGCATTACAATTAACAAAGTAAAAAATTGTTTTGCTTTCTCCATTTTGAAATATGTTCTAATCTTTTATTTAGTCACTTGTGTTGCTCTGGAATCTTTATTTTACTTACTTTTCTCCTCTAGACAAAATTTATAGTTTTTGGAGTTTTTGTTGTAAGATGGTTCTGTTATTTTTTGTTTTTTTTTCCACGGGATTTTTTATATATTTTGATTTTAATTTTTAATTTTTACATTTACTATTGTTAAACGTTGTTTTGTGTGCATAGTTTTTCTGCTTGGAGGGTTCTTCTTGCATTCATATCTAAACATTTTCTTTGCTATCTGCCGTTTTACAGTGGCTTCGGATATAATATTTCTTGGCAGTTGATTGCTGTTTAAGGGACATTCATTTGCTCTGCAGTTACAGATTGATTTGTTTGGTGTGGGTTGTTATTTTTCCGTTGTGCTTTTTATTATTTCTGTCATGTTCTCAGTGCAACTACAGCTATTGTTTAATGTTTCTGTTGAATATCTTGTTGAAATTGCCTGATCGCGGGAGGTGTTTGGGTATGAGT